AAAGATTTTGCACTATTTTTCATTATGGAACGATTTTTCGAAATATAAGCTCTTTGATGTTGTCGGAATTTTTCTCCCTTAAAACTTTGATTGGACAGGCTGGGCTGAAACATTAACATTCTTGATCCTCAATTAGCCAAAAATAGGTCCCAAAACAGTGGGATTTCTACAACAGTGAGAATTTTAACAGTGAAATTTTTACAATAACATTTAACAAAACTGAATATAAAACTAGAACTGTCCGAATATCGATTACTAAAAATTTTTTCTCTTGGGCTTAAATCTCCGAGACAAAAAAAGTAGTTTCCGTGCTAACAACGTTTCCGTAGTAATTTAGTCGATATAATGAATGCACAAAGTTACGCCATACTTTAATCTCACTCAAATTTTGTCAAAACGTTCGTCTACCTAACTCACATCTATACAGTTAGCATAAATATTTCTGGACTTCGCTGTAGGTTTTTCAAACATCCTGGTTTTTTAGGTAAAATGTATTTTTTCTTAGGCCAGAACCATTTGTAAGAAAACGTAAGACTATATTCAGAAGCAGCAGTTATATCGAATCGTGTAAAACACAATACGTTTTGGATGGAAAAAAGCCATATAGTTTGGTTTTTCTTTTTTTGTGTATCTACTCTCTTTTAGTGGATGTTTTCTTTTCTGCACGGTAGTGCTGTTTATAAGCCTTAAACTTTTGGTATTTTTCCATGAAATCAAAAGTTCTTTGTTCAAGACTTTTTTGTTCATAAAATAAAGTTCATTCATTCATTTATATTTAACTAGTCCGTTAGTTGAATATAAAAAGGAATATCTTTCTGTTACCAGTCATACGATTGAACAGGACTAGCATTTCCTCCAAAGACGATCACTTTTCTCATTTAATACGGGATAAAAGAAAGTATCCTATTCTGTATTAATCTTATTCAAACTATTTTTTGAATTATTCTACCGTTAATTTTTGTCAATAAAAATAATACATTACATATGAATCCAGTTACACTAGTACTATTAGTGGAAGAGTATGACAAGGTTAAGGTTTTTTTATCGAACTTTTATGACTTTATCGCAATATACATACTGAAATAGACGAAATTTTTAATGCGTTAGATCGCGTTATTTTATTTTGGCTTGTATTTAATTTTAATTGTTCAGTATTTTATTATGAATGTTCAGTAAATTTTTTATCACATGTTCAGTAGTTTTTGTTCAGGAAATAATTCAAGAAGTTCAGTAAACAATTCACGTTTTCAGCTCCAGTTCCGGTTACTACAAATGAGAAAGAACGGTTCCGATTTGGTTCCCAAAATACCATGTGGAACCGAAACCGTTAATCATCAGACAGATACGAAAATTTAAAATATATTTTGAGAAATTTTCACTATTTCATTGTTAAGATTAAATGGTTTTTCCACGGTTCACGCTCACTCTCATTCACAATCTCACCCCGCACTCTCACTCACAATCTCACCCCGCACTCTCACCCACAGCTACAGCCAAACTCCACACTCCATTCCACACACACAAATTATTAATTTACTGAGCAGATATGATAGTTATCAAACAGTTTAATTTATTTACTGATAATTTTGTACATAATACTGAGCAATAAATTATACTAAGCGTTTACATTAAAATACTGAGCATTTAATTTGTTTTCTTTTATTTTTAACGTAAATTTTCGCAAAAGCTGTTTCACATCCTAACGCGTTAATATTCCAATTACGTAAAACTGTGATATAACTTTATTCATTTCAACTGGTTTTTGTTTTCTGTAATAAAAAATACGCTACATTAGAATGCGTTACTATATTCTTGCGCAGTTTCTTGAAACTGGATAGCTAATGTATAAAAGTGAGAATTTACTTAAGTTCGTTTTAACAATGCTCATGGTCTGATTAGTTTAGTGCTCCATGAAGATCCCATGTTCCAAATTGTTTATATATTGCAACATACGTAACAAATATGTATAGACCAACGTAAATGAAACCCGAAAACATCATTAGAATGGCAAATGCTAATTGTGCTTGAATAATTCGATATTTATTTACAAAACCAGACAAATTGTATAAACCATTCCATGTTTGAACGAAATTACCATCTATACCGATTATAATCAAACAAAATACAATGAGAAGAATTTGAGCAAATAAGACATAAGTTGACCATTGACGTGATCGATCTTTTCGTAATACTAAAATAAAATAAATCAAACAGTTTTAGATATATTGAAATTAAAACGGAAATAAGAGTAAGAAAATTCTTGAACAAGGACGATAATTTAATATTCACTCATCTATCATCTATCTGTTTTATTTTAAATCTTTTAATCTATTTATGAAAATAGAAGATTTAATATTAAAAAAGATTATTTCATAGTCAAAAAGATCATTGTCGTTCTTTATATACGAAAAGTATTCTTCTGTTTACTTCTATTGAATAAAAATAGTTAAATCTAAAATATTTAATAGAAGTACAAACATAATAATATATTTCAAATCTAACTTACCCATAATAAACGTCATTATAATGGCTAATAAAAAAATTGCTGAACACCATATTCCACATCCAGTTGGTTTGAATATTGAATTGGACGATGCGGAAAGACTGCCAATTTCTAAGAAAAATATTAAAATTGTAAATATTAATTGAATAATAGCCACAATGAGTACAGGATAAACTGGAAATTGACTTTTCCAACTGTCATCATGAGTGGACGATGTTTGACTTATCGTATAAACGGGTGGTGCATCTTGTTGTTTTCCTTCTTGATGATGCATGATGATTAAATGTCAAAAAAAAAATGCTAATAGTAATTTGATAAATGAATGTACGTTCACTCTAAGTTAACTAGTCAAATAAAAAAAAATAAAAAAATAAAATACATTCATTTTTAAATATTCAATATATGATTTTTACGATACTGTTAATATTATAAAATTACCTTTTCAATTTGATATCAACCTATTATAATAGAAGTTTACTACTCTATATATTTAAAATTATAGTGCACTTGAACTGATCAATTGAACAATGAACTTTATTCAAAAAATATATTTAGTCTTTTAGACTATGAATAAATATGCATGAATATTGTAAAAATGTCAAAATTTTTTTTCTCTTTTTTCTATTTTTACTAAACATGAAATACAGGTAGCACATTTCCCAGTATAAAGATTTCTTTCTTTTTTTTTTTTGTCCTAGCAAATAAATAAAGTTCTTATTCTTATTCTTTTTCTTTTTTTTAGTACTTTAATGAAACACGAATAAGTGTGGAGGGAGGAAAAAAATTTCCTTTTTTTCTAATGATTCGTTCCCTGAAGAAAAGGAACTGAACTTCCTGCTGACATTTTCAAAACTTTATGCATGTCGGACTAATAGATTAAATCAAATAGCTAATGATTATTCAATATACCCATAATATTCAAAGACGGAAATATTTTATCTTTTACCAATAGTTTACCGTCAAACTTGTAAAATAAGGCATCATCACCTTTCATTATCTAAAATGTACCGTTTAGTTAACAGAGTTTGATATTATCAAACTTTTATTCAAATTATTCTCGACCTAATTTTGTGACCACAATACAAAAATGTGTAATATAAATTTGATACGATGTAGTATTAATTCTGTTGATAATATAAATAAGGAAATCACATTTAAATTTAATTTCGTTTTTCTCGTAAAATTTTATTTTATTTTATAAATTTATTTACAACTGCTAAACGTTTCGAAGTCTAAACCGACTCCTTCTTCAGTAGTACAAATGATATGAATAACAAGTGATGTAAGAAATACTCTCAATAGACATTTGAATCGAGCTATTTTGACAGACAAAAAGAATAGAAATGTTAAAACAGAACAAGAAGAAGCATTGAAAAGTCTAAAAGTCGATGATAGTATTTTAGTAATATCAGCAGATAAAGGTGGTAAAATTGTAGCTATGAATACGTCCGATTATAAAGCTAAGATAGAAGAGAAGTTAAGTAATAGTAGTACATATACTAAATTGAGTGGAAATCCAATCAAAAGGTTAATAAAAGAGTTAGCTAGTTTAATTAAAGTAGTTCAAGATAAAAAAGAAATTGACAATCAAAAAATTTCAAAAAAAGAAAAATGTTTACCTTTCGTTAGAGGGAAAATTAAAACTCATAAAAACGATAAACCTATGAGACTTATAGTTTCAATGCGTAGTACAATTGGCTCAACAATGACCAAACATTTAACAAAAGTTTTACGAAAATTAGGAGACAAAGTTAGATCGTCAAAAAACACAAAACATTTAATAGAAGATATTTATAAAGTTAAAGTCGTCAGTCCAAAAATGAGTTTAGCTCGTTTAGATGTAGTTGATTTATTTACATCGATAGATCGAAACGACGCAATAAGAATATTATCAGAAAAATTAAAACAAGATATAAGTTGGAAAGCAGATACAAGTTTAAATGAAGATACCATCATCAACATGGTAAAATTTTTAACAGATAATGTTTATTTTCAATTCGGGGAACATTA